GCAGGATGATTATGTTAGTGTAAATGAGTCATTCTAACTACCAGAAACCTCGACGCACAGGCCGAGGGGGAGGTGTGGCAGCAACGTTTGATAGAGAGGTTCACTGTGAAGTAATGTGTCCTAAACTAGCCTGCAAGTTCTTGCCCAGTGGGAAACAAAAGTGAGGCGACCGCTGTTGTGATTCTGCGCTGTATGAATAACATTGAACTGGGACCAGTGATGGACACCAGTCGTTCGCCCTAAACCCAAACGAGCTTCATCCACCAGCTGGAAGCTCCGAGGCTGAAACTGGAACAACAAGCTGAGCAGTTTTTCTCCCTTCAGGAGCTCAGTCCTCCTCGTCTTTCCTCATATTGTGTATTTCCATCATCCTTCCTCTCCGACCCGTCTTCCCCATGTGATGTTTGTGTGATGTACGGTCTGAAGGGTAAGATGGCGCTGGAACGCCGACACCTTAACTTTCCTTCGGGATCAATAAAGTTGAATGAAATGAAAATGAAATCTCTCTGAACTCTGATCTGAAATCATTCCCTGCAGGACGAACGGATGCTGCTGCAGGAGACGCGGGTTTCAGCGTCTCCTGCAGCGACTTCCACCCCGCAGAGCTGCAACAAACAACAGCCCACCCAGGAGTGCCACTCGGCACGTGAACAGCTGATCAATCAGCTGACTCACCGTCAGCGCTCAGCTCCTCCAGACGGGCGCCCAGTCGAGCCTCCAGCTCCAACATGTCAGGCGTCAGAGACGAGGCGTTGGAGGCCGGCAACTCTGCAAAGTGTCGACATGCAACATTAAAGGCGCTCAGGTGGGCGGGACAAAATGAAATTTTAGTTGGAAAACAACAACAGCGCCCCCCGGTGGTGATGGTTTAAACATTCAGCATCAATTATAAAAATCTCAGACGGGAGTTTTTTAAAGGTGATTTTTTAACCCTCGAGTCAGCAGGACAGGAAGCGAATCTGACCTGAGATCTGCCGCCTCAGCTCCTCTATCACACTCTCGGCGTTACACAGTCTGGCCGCCAACACTGGAAACGAGCAAACACACACAGGAAGTTTACACACAACTGCTCGACAGAATAAAATGGAGACTTTTAGTCTGAAAGTTTTCTGAGGAAGTACAACTGAATGTCAGTGTGAGCAGCGCCCCCCAGTGGGCACACAGCGTCACCGGTCAGTAGAAACACAACTTCCTGTTTTTCATCATAAGTCTGGCTCACAGCCACAGACTGTATATAAAAGATGTACAGCCTTTATGTCCATCTTTAAACACCGTCAGTGGGACTTCCTGCTTCAAAGAAAAGCTGGTTAATCTATGAAATTAGAACCAAGTCACCAAACAGTGATTGCTTGATGATGATGATGACCTGCGTTCTTCCTCCTCAGCTGCTCCACGGTGTTCTCGCTCGCCCTCAGTCTCGTCTGCAGGAACGGCAGCTCCGCCGCCAGAGCTGCAGACACAGCAGTAACCAGTGTGAGGTCCACAAACCTGCGAGCGGCTGCTCAGGCGACGA